TGGTAAAAATTGGGAAAAACCCAAAGGAAAAAGAGTTTGGTTAAGTCCAGGGAGTTGGCAGTGTTAAAAAGGGTCTAGTAAAGGTTTGGGAAGTTAAAAAAGGAAGTAAAAAGGGTTCTAAGTAGAATGAAAAGAAGGCAAAGCCTCAAGTGTCCAAAAAGGAAAGAAAAGTTCCCTAAGTGTTTAGAAAATCCCAAACCGCTAGATGTTACCTCAAGAAGCCTCTCCCTAGGAAGTTCTTAAAAGAAAAGTGAGCAAAGCTCCTCAGTTTCAAAGGCGAAATGCCAAAAAGGGTAGTTAGGATTTTGTTCTAAAAAGCTCTAAGTGTTGAACTCGATCGAGTTAGGATTAGGCGGCTCGAGCTGCTGTTCTTGCATCATCTTTGGTTCTAACACTTAGCCTTCTGCCAAAGCAAAGCCACTTTCTTGAGAGATCCCTGTTACTAAACCACCATACAAAAGAGACCCTCTTTGTCTCTTAACCCATAAACCCTTGAAACCAAATGAGTTGATTGATCTTGCATGTTTTTGGTTCACTGTTTTTGCTTAATGAATGTTAAAGGGATTTGCTGATTTGAATGCATTGTTTGAGTGACTGTGAAGTGGGATTGATGTTGATAAGCATGGTTAAATCTTAATGAATATCTCTCACCTTGTTGCATTCTAGAATCTCTAAGTTGGACATTTAGCAAATCGCTTTTGAGGACATGTTTTTAAGCATGGTTAAGCCTTGATAAAAGGAGTTTTAAGAGCTAGATTGATTAAGTGTAGATTCCTTTGATTGCAAAACCCTGTCTTGAACCCTAATTCTCTCTTTATCTTGTTAAAGTCGTCACCTTTAGCTTTGTTTGTCTCAACTCGTCCCTAAACTCGATTGAGCTGGAACTTTGCTCTGACTCGACTCGAGCTCTTGGTCGAGCTGACACTTCACTGCTTTGTTTACTTTTATTGCTTTGCTTTTCATTATTTTTATGTTGTTAGTGTTACTTTAAATCTATAACTGCTTGCTTGACTTTCAGGTTGTTTCATACTCTCAAAGAGTAGCAAGTTCCCATTTTGGATTGATAACCTCTTATGCTTCAATGACTATGATGGTTAAGAGGAATTGATTGATTGTGATTGCACCATACCATATCATCTTTATTCACCCCTGTTTGCATTCCACCTCATTTCATATCACATCCGCATAAAATCCTATCATCAATCGGACGAGTGAAGCATTGGCCGATGCTTTCTCGGCCGGACGTGGGACGTCTTCCCGGCTCGGACGGATGCATCGGCCGTGGTACGCGAGAAGGTTGCGCGGCCGCGAGGCTTGTTCCCGGCTCGCGCGGCATGGTCGTGCGCGGCATGGTGGCGTGTGAGTGGCGTGGTGGCCGACCGCGGGACATTGCTTCCCGGGTCGTGATGCGTATCGGCCGGTGGTTGAACTTTGGCCGAGACTTCAGACGGACGGATAGATTTGGCCGACGCGGAACATTCGTTTCTCGGCCAGCCGCTGCGCGGTTGGCGCTGATTCTCGATAGAGCCGTCTGGACAGTCTTCACTCTTTTGGTTATAACTCCTTTTCTACTCATCCAAATGAGGCCGTTCCAGTTGCGTTGGAAAGTTAACTCAATCAGAGCACGCAGGGAACTGGTCTTGATGAAATCCATTGAGTAGATCTTTTTCTGGGCCCTCTTAAAGTTGATGCTTGTGCATGGAGCGGCTTGAAGTGCAAATCCTATGGTTTTGCTCCAAAATGCATCATTTCACCTGTTTAGACTCTAGACACTATAAACACAGTAAAACTACCTTTTTAGATAGAAAACCTGCCAAAAACCATTAGAAAACAATACTAAAACAGTATAAAAAGCATGTAAAATAGAGGTATATCAACTCCCCCAGACTTAGATCTTTGCTTGTCCCCAAGCAAAAAGAATCTAAATCCGTGAAAGAGGTTTGAAAACGTGGAAACTCCCTTGCTCTTTTGAATATCCTGTGAAAGGTTCCTTTCCTGTATTCCACTAAGAACATAGACAACATAAGGTTAGCTTCACATACACCCTGCAAGTTTAGCGAACAATACCAACCCAACTAGTCTCATCCAGCAATCCAAACTCTCTATTGCTAACCTCTTGCATAAATTTAAAGCGTGAGTTCTTTATCAAGGGAACATCGATCAATTGAACTTGTTCTTACCCACTTGATCTTCTCCAAGATTGTCTTTGAAGTGCAATGAGTTCTTTTCCTCTCTCTTTCTCACATCAGAACTTTGAAAGGTCAATTTCTCCCTACTTTTCTAGGGTATCATTTTATTTTTTCTATTGACCCTTCTTTCAACCACAGGATAAGTCTTTAGCTTGTTCCTTGTTTGACTAAGGTATTCCATAAGACATGAAGGTACAGACATATGCATTCCTCATGCTTACTTGTTTTCCTTGTGCTCTTTGAGCTTTTTCTCATAAATATTTCTTACCATTTGGGATGGGAGAGAGAGGAGAACTGCTTTAAAGATTAGACAAATCTTATTGAAAATCAAGCAAGGAACTGTCGACATGTATGCCAATCCCCTTGACAAGAGTGATTAAGATTGATTAAGGGTGAGGTTAACTCTAGATTGCTTGGTTACCTTAGAAATTTTGCTGAGCTAGCATGTCGATCCACTGTAAGAGCTTCTGTTAGGCTTGTGCCTTTAGCTGGTTTCTGCTCTAGGGTCATGGATTGTTAGCACAACACTCTCAATTCTCAAAGCAAGTTCATAACTTCCGGACTGGTTTTTGACTCAATAAAACTTTTTGAAAAAATGAAACAAAGTAATAAAACATAAGAAAAGAAAGAAAAATGCATTAGTAACACAATAAAACTCCCCCCAGACTTAACTTGCACCGTCCCGGTGAAAGCAAATCACATTAAGGTGAGAGGTAATATTCAAAGTAAAAGAAAAATAAAGAGAAATTCATTAAAATGAGATAGGGATAGAAAATGGAGATTTGTAAGTGTCCATTGCACTAAGTACCACTTGAGATGACTATGTGTGGCAGTGAGAAGAACTCTCTTCCTCATCTATGGGGTCATCGCCTTCTGAACCAAGCTCTGAGTCTAGTGAGAACTCACCAAGGTCAGGCTCATATGGCTCTCTAGCGGTGGAAGAAGGGCGAAAGAGTCTCTCCGGTGCAATGTGGCGAACTACACGAACTAGGCGTGAGATGAAGCGAGATTGGCACTCCACGATCTTCTCCAGCTTGCTCACACGGTCTAGAGCTTGGTGCGGCCATGCCAGTGTGAGAACATGGCGTTCTTGGTGGCGGCGTTGAGCTTTGACTGTGCGCTGAAGTGTGCGATAGGTGAGGATGGGGAATGATGGTTTCTCACTTGATGGAACATAGAAGTCTTCCTCCTTGGGCTGGAAAGTGACAACACCTGAGCGTAGGCTTGGGATATCTTCATGTGGCAGCAAGACAAGGGAAGTGTTGGTTGGACCAATTGGAAACTCATAGCAAAACTTGTTGGGTTTTAGTCCAACGGTTTAGGAAGTGGATTGCTGAAGGGCATGGAGATCCAAAGGGATTGGCTTGGGTAGTGGCTCATAGTTGGGAATGTCAATCCCCACATGTTGTACTATGGCCGTGATAAGCCTCCCAAAACGAACACAAAGCTTCTTGTTGCCTTCCAAGTCTTGAGCTAGTTCCTCACATTGATAAATGTCTTGGCAAGTAAAAGGCCAAGGTTGGCCTTGTACTCATGCTTGATGAATGGTGTGGTGAGGATGTAGAACTCATCAGTTGTGACCTTGTTGGCTTCTTGTTTGCATTGGAAAGTGGTGGAGATGAGGCGGTGCACATAGCGAATGGCTGGATGAGTGATTCTAGACACCTTTGATCTTGAAGGCAAGAATGGTTCATTGGCAAAGTGTGTCCAATCAGCAAAGGCAGCTTGTTTCCTCTTTGAGTTCTCCTTGAAGTCATGTGCTGTCTCATTGGGAAGTCCAAAGAGTTGGCATAGAGCTGAGATGGAGATGCGCCCATTGGCATCGCCTATCTTGAAGAGTAGGAGTCCATCACCAGCTGGTTGGTCTCCATTGTGGTTGGGAAAGGCAAGAGCTACTGTGGAGAGGAACTCCTTGGTGAGTTGAGTACTCACTACACTCTAGCTTGAAGAGCTTGCTCAAGCCTAGCTTCCTTATGTACCATGTGACATCATCTCTTATCTTGAGAAGGTCAAGGGTTGGGTGTCCATCTTCACACAAGGTTCGATGTTCACCTTCTCCATTGCCTTCTTGCACTTTCTTGGGTCTTGGATTTGTTCTCCAACAAAGCTTACAAGTGCCCAATCATCTTCTCCTCTTGGACTCTCCACATGTTCTTGATTGCATCAATGGAATGTGGTGAAGTTGGTATTGCTGCTCTTGCATTGGAGCTACTACTCCCTAGCTTGATTTGTTTCTTGGTGGTTGCCATGAATGGGTCTTCTTCTTCTTCATACTCACTTCCTTTTGTCTTTGCCATTGGGTACCTACAAGAGCAAATTCTTGGGAAGAGACATGAGTTTGTGATTAATGCAAAAGAAAGATAAGCTAATTGAGTTGTAATAATGATATGGATAATGGAACAACTCAAGGCTTAATCATGAATCAAAGAAACAAAATATTTCAAAGTTAATTTTCGGATTTTACTGTTCATCTCAAGATTATGGTGCTTAAAATCGAAATTTTTAGCAAATCAAGAGAAATTGAGTTTCTAATCCAAGTAATCACTAGATAAACTAATGAATTGAAGTATGCTAAGCAATTTCACCTTTGAATAAGGGGTTTGGAATGCCCAATAAGTTTTGTGAAAAACTATTCAATTGTGAAATTAAACTCTAAATAACTCTAAACCACCTAGGTTCCACCTAGCTAAGTTCATTACAAGACTAATAAGATGGCAATTTCAAGTTTAGACAAGAGTTTAGACCAAACAAGAAACTTATTGAAATTTCGATCTTGCATAAACATGGATTAGAGTTAGAAGACATACCTTGTGTATTGAAAAGTGAATAAGGTTGCAAGAGCAAGTAAATTCCAATTTAGAGTTATGAACAGTAAAAGTTTTGAAATCAAAGCTCTTAGAGTTCCTCTAATGGAGTTTAGGGTTTTGGAGAAGAAAGAGAGGTTCTTGTGTTTTCAAGGGAAAGGTAAAGTAAATAAGCTCAAATCCATTAATTTTCCTTTTCAAATTCGAATTTTGATTGAAAACCGGTTTAAGTTGGTTTAGGATTGGTTAAAACCGGTTTGAATTTAATGAAAAGGGGACTTACCTTGGCCGAGAAAAGTTTGGCCGATGGCCGATGGATTTTGTCGCGGTCGTGCGATTTGGTCGGCCAAATCTGCGAATGGACGAGAAATTTCGGCCGAGGCCGATCGTTTGTTTCCCGGATCGACCGTACGGTCGGTCCGTTCCGATACGTAATCCGGCCGATCGCGGCCTGTTCTTCTCCCGTTCGTGCCGCGCGACGGTTTTGTCGCGCGATAGAAATCCGGCCGAGCATAGCCGTTCCTTCCCGGCTCGACCGGACGGTCGGCCCGATTGGAATTGCTCGGCCAAATTTCTTTGCGCGTCCGCGGCCAATGGTTTGGCGCGGATTGTGTTTTCACACCTTTTTCTCCTTCTATCCTATCTTAAAACAAAGAAAACACAAAAGCAAAACAAAAACTAAGAAATTAAAGAAAGAAAAGTAAAAGTACCTCATGGGTTGCCTCCCATGCAGCGCTTGTTTTAAGTCTTTAGCTTGACTGTAAGGCTTGGCGCTCAGGAGAAGATGGAGACAAGAGGCATCTTTGATCCTCCAAGTCTTTTCTCCTTGCAATGAGTATCTGGTGGGTGATTCACAGCTGGATAGACAATCTCTCCATGAATGTCCCTTGGCACAAATGCCTTAGGAAAAAGTTTAGAGTTCTTGTCAACTTTCTCCTTGAATCCTTCTAGATTCTCATCAATAAGCTCCTTTGGGAATAGAAGCTTCATGTTGCGGCCAGACCTAGGCTTTCTAACCTTCTTCTTGGCTTGGCCTCATCTTCAATCTTGGTGATCCCTTGGGCGGTTTTGGTGTAGGGGCCTTAGTCTTACTCCTTGCTTGTTTGGCAAGCTGCTTGGGCTTAGGAATGGGATCTTCCTTGATTGTTTCTTCAGTTTCTCCTTCTTGGGGTGGCTTCAAAGTAACTTTCTCCTCTTGGACCATGTCAACAAAAGAGTTCTTTGTTGAACACATAGGGAAGAACATACCCTTGTTCACCTTGTTGAAAGAGATTCTTTGATTGGGGAAATCAAATATGGCACCCACAGTAGACAGGAAAGGGGTTCCAAATATGAGAGGTCTATGGCTACTCTCTCTCATTTCCACAATCTGGAAATCAGTAGGGATAGAGCAATTTCCAATCTGCACCATCACATTAGGCACAAAGCCATAGGGGTTTGTGAGAATGAATCAGCATAGTTGATGGAGATGGATGATGGCTGATCTTGGTGAGGCCTATCTTGTCAGCTATCCTCTTAGACATGATGTTCACATTGGCTCCTGTGTCACACAAAGATTGCTCAAGAATGTTACCTTTGATGATACAAGGCACAACAAACTTTCCTGAGTTATCTGTCTTGGGGATAATCTTTGGGAAGAGTCTTCTCTTTCTAGCTCGATTGGACTCTCTCTCTGGGTAATTCTCTTCAGGCCAAATCATGCAATCAACAGTAGGTTTTGAAAGCATCCATTCTGGAACTTGGTCTTCAAATCTTTCTTCTATGGCGGCTGAGTTGCAAAAGGACTTCTTGGATTCAGCTTCCTGTCTCTTAACAGCTTCCATAGTTTGAGTGACTTGAGTCTCTAGTTTCTTCACATGAGTGGCAACAGCATCATACTTGGTGTTGAGATTGCTGAACAAAGTGTCCATCTTCTCATACATCTCTTTATTCTCTTCTGGCCATCCATGATCTGTTGGAGGATTCCTTCAAATCTCCCACCTTGTTGGTTTGGAGGAGCTTGATTTGGTGAAGAAGCATATGGCTCCTTGGGCGGATATGATGATCTCTGCTCATACCCTTGCCTTGGCTGAAATTGACTTCCTTGAGATTGGTAAGGAGGTCTTTGTTGTTGTGGATACCTTGGAGGATACACTTGGTCTTGAGGATTCTCCACATTGGGGTTTCTATAAGACATGTTGGGGTTTGGGCGATAGCTTGGATTGTATCCCTTGTTCCCATAGTTTCCAATGTAGTTCACATCTTCTTCATTGGCTTCATTAGAGAAATCTCCCATGCATTCTCTTGATGGGTCTTCATTAGCATCACTCATCCCTTCTATTGCATTGATATGCTTGAGCTGTCCCTTAAGAACTTGAGCCATCATGTTCTTGAGTTCAGTCATTTGAAAAGAATCAGGGGAGCTAGTAGTGGTGCGGCTTGAGCGGTCATAATCAGGACAGTTGTTACAATCACTAGCTGCAAGATTCTCAATAAGAACCTTAGCTTCATCAACAGTCTTGGTCATGAAGTTTCCATTGCTTGCAGTGTCCAATGAAAGCTTGTACTTGTGGTCTATGCCACGATAGAAGATGTTCCATAGGTTTCCCTCATTGAAACCATGATTAGGGCAGTCCCTAATGTACTCCTTGAATCGGTCTAGCGCCTCATAGAAAGATTCATTGTTGGCTTGGCGAAAGTTGGAGATCTTGTTCCTTACAGAAATTGATCTTTGCTTGGTGTAGAAGTGGTTGATGAAAGCGCCTTGTACTCATCCCAAGTGGTAATGGAGTGAGCTTTGTCGCCAAGAGAGAATGAAAAGAGCTTGCACTTCAAGTAGTCAGCAGAGACTCCATTGGATCTTGTAGTGCTGCAAATTTCTTCAAAGTTTTCTATGTGATCAAGAGGATGCTCAGCTGGAAGGCCATTGAATTGGTTCTGTCTAACCAATGCTATGATCTGAGGCTTGATCTCATAGTCATTCCTTGCAGGAAGTGGTGGATGGATAGGGTTTCTATCCATGAAGAAAGCATCGGCAGAGTCATAGTCTCCGATTGTTGCTCCAGCTTGGGTTGTGCACATTCACATCTCCAGCAGGATCTTGTGGATTAGGAGGAGGAGGAGGTGGATCTCTTCCTTCTTCTTGAGCGCGCGCCACTTCAGCGGCGTGAGA